AGTAAAGCCCATCATTGGCTGAGGTCCAAACAGTACAAATTCTATAATTATATGGCAGTTTTGTGAGCTCGAAAGCAAAGGAAAAGCATTTTCTTCATGAACTGATCTGCCCAATTCTACCAACAATAGAAACTTCTCTTGTGTTTTACTCCATTAATGTCAATGTGGTGTATAAGCAAGGCCCCTGCTACTACTTTTCAGTAACTAGTGTCATCAGTGTGCCTCATTATAGTTGAAATGATGGATGTCATCTAAATGGCCCAGGAGCGCGGTCTGCTGTCAGTGAGAACTCCTGTCTACTTTGTTGAGCACTTTTGCTGAGAGAGGACTTCAGGATTTGACCCACAGTCAAAAAAGGCGTTGGATTGACAGGGAAAAATATTATGTATTGGAACTGAAGCAGCATCTAGGAACAACAGTCATACACTGGGATCCTATTGTATTAGGGCCCTGTACCCACAACAGAAAATTAATGAAAAGTTCTCATAGTTTATCTCGTTTTCCTGTCCCTAGGAGATAATGGGAGAATTTTCCTTGAGCTGAATGGGAGGACTGAATCTGATATACAGAATTTTTAAACAATGAAATTATAAATTTAATTAAAATAAGGACAGGGTTTACCAGGCACTGCCTGTAGGGCGGGTTGACCAAACAATCAGTGCACAATGGTTTGTTTTTATGTAGATATTCCTCGTAGCTGCAGTGTTCATCGGACTAGAATATGACAATTGCTGTGGATGCTGCGGGTATGAGAACTGTGGGAAAAGCTGTGCAGTGAGTGAACTTTTTACTTCATCATTTTTGGATGGTTCCTAAGTGAGAACACTCAGAATGGTGAGAATCACTTGTGTGCTCACTCTGCAGATGCTGTCCTCTGTTCTGGCTGCCTTCATTGGGATCCTGGGGTCCGGATACTGCCTCATCATTTCAGCCTTGGGTTTATCTGATGGCCCTTACTGCCTCTCCTCTGTGAAACAGAACTGGGCCTACCCTTTCGTTAACTCCAGTGGTGGGTAAGTAGTCTATTGACCAGCAAGCGGTGCACTGCACTATAGAAACACCCAGTATCTGATTCTGATACTGCTGACAGGGTTTTTAATGGGGGGGGGGATTCCATTTGCACAGCTTTGTGCTAGTGTAAAGAGGAGAAACGTTTCCATTAATTTGCTTCTATTCAGATGAGTAGTCCCATTAGTTT